CAACACGAGGAGAAGCGAGCGGAATTCTTCATAAAGTGTAATCCTACTCCTCACATATTTAGATTTTCTACAAGATTTTGGTAAATAAAATTCAAAGTGGCCAGAAATTATCTAACAAGCCAATATCATACCATATGGGGCATCTTACCATTAGTACTATGGTCGTACACACATGACATGTACTAAACATCTTTGCTGATCCTCTTCCAGCGAATCTTTTCTAGAGCGCGTGAACATTGCTGTGTCGAATACAAACATTTTTCAAAGACTTGTTTTTGTTTGTTAACTGCTGTTTTTGGCCGCAGTTCGCCTTGCGAATGTTTCACAAGAATGCTGGGTTGTGAACAAAACTTTCGCCCCAGGCGGGACTAGAACCCGCACCTCTCGCTTTCCGGGCAAGTGCGCTACTAGACAGCGACAGGTGCTGGTTCTCGTCAAAATTGTTGAAGAATTTTTCTGACCTTTAGGAAATTTTCAGCGCTCGGCGAGAAGATAAATAGAAGCTCCGCAGTAAAAGCAAATCAAAGTGAGCTTGGCTATTACAAATCGAGGATCTTCAAACAGTCGGTGAGGAGTCATTCCTGTACAGTGCCAAGTGCGTACAACAAACATGTAGTGCTGCAAACCACTCAAAAAACTGGACTTTAGATCTAGAACATAATGACGTGACAAGTACATTATGAAGGATCTTCTCCCAGAAACAGGGAAATCAACAAAAACAATAGTACATGTACCAAAGGAAAACATGGTGTGAAGAAAAGAATGATGTTGATGAGGAAAGGCGGAGTGAAAAGCTCAAGCAAAATCTTTTTATCCTTCTGGGTTTGGAGTAGGGTCGTGGTAGTGGATTTAGAGGTCTTGGGTTCATCCAAACCAAATATCCACAAATGAGCACTAAATTATATGAAGAAGAGTTGTTGCCTGAAAACATTCTTTGATTTTACGATTTACTCATTTTTCAATAGTACACAAGTTTGAACTGCACTCACAATCCACCTCAACCAGTTGCAGAAAGCAGCTACGCCCCCCCCCTCCCCTACTCCCACCCGCGAGAATGGTAAGTTTCTCCAAAATAGCGTTGGAGCTCACAACCCCGCGGGTTTCACTTTTGTTCAGGCGTCTACAATGTGGAATTTATTTTATCTCTGGGACAGACAACATACTGTCCGTCAACTGCTTATACCACCCCCTGATGTTTCGAATTTCTGACTGGGTTGAAGTTTTCATAAAACGCGACAGCATCCATCGTTTCCAGCGTGGCTGTGAACTCAAAGTAGTGTTGTTTGATTATGATTAGCGCGGCGATTCGAGATGATGTGTTCTTGAAAAGAAAATTCATTGGGTCAATCATTTATGCCATCTTCGGAATTCCTCTTTCCTCCAACACTTATTCAACTCCGGTATGCACACAGTAGAAATAAGGAACTCCTGCTCATTTCTACTGTATGTACATACACGTACTCATAATACAATGCACATAATTGGTTGATCATTTATAACTAACTAGCTCAGAATAGTAACCTTTATCCTGGAAGGCAGCAGCATGGAAACATTTCATCGGAGAAGGACTGTATTTTATCTTTTGCGGTCGCTTTTGCTTGTTTTTGATAGTTATTGAGGAGCATATAGGCAAAACTGAAGAGCTTGACGCGCTTCTTCCTCCACAAAATTTGCTTTTTTGACGCATCACATCCTTGCTCAGATTTATCAGTGGTCTCAGCTTCCGTGAAGCTCGAAGCGTTCACGCTCGCTGCGTCTGCTGCTCAATGATGGTATTGAGTCTCGGTGTTCTAAAATGGAGGTGACATCGAGATGATGGCATGGACTGTCTGTTTCTAAGAAAGAATTTGATCGAGTTCGGCGATGGGCACCAGGCAGGTGGTTTGTGCGAGTCATGTTCTCTCTGAACAGAGAGTTTGTGAGCGTGAACGCTTTGAGCTTTGCGGAAGCCGAACCGCAATTGTAAGGTGACCACGGATCTGATGCGCCAACAAAGTGAAGTTGAAGGCTACTTGGGCGCAGCAAACCCTTTGGATTTGATTGGGTGCACTCTTTAAAGAAGTCTTCCAAGAACAAATCGAACGCGGAAGATAAACATAGCTCCTGATAGAGTGCTTTTATGGTGCTGCTTTTAGGATGAGGAAGAATATCTTGAAGTAGTTGTTCATAAATGGTTTCCTCATTTCTACTGCATCCATACCGTAGCTCAATAGTGCTGAAGAAAAGAGAAATTTCAAACATGGCACAAACAAATAAGGCAGTACATTTTTTTCCGGAACAAGAACACAGCAGCTTCTGCTTTAACTTGAAAGACGAATTCACGATTAGAATGAAAGGAAGGAGCGATCCACTTATACGAGGGAGCCGCGGACCTCCTGAGGGTGCAAACTGACACGCAATTGGCACCGAAGGAGGTTACCTCGTCGAAATAATAAGGGCAGGGTCAACCGTCACGTTCGAACATTTTCGGGATTTTTGCGACCCCCTCGCTCTCGAGGGGGTCCAATTGCGACCTCCTGTTTTTGTTAAT